ATTCTGACAGAAAAATCGAATTTGCCATTATGTTCCGCACCCCAAATAATATTCTTTGGTCATGTCACCTCCAATATTTTAGCCCATATGTAGATAAGAACCTGAAATAGCCCTATTTCAGGGATGATTGTGTACTGTACAATAACAAGTATTCTAATTAATACTGGTTCTGCAACACTTTTGCAATAATAATGTTCCATTAAGATGACGTGAAGCTAAAATAAACAAATTGTTTTGATGTGCTGTGAATTTAGTTTCTGCTTTGATTTGATGAATAGAATATCTGGTGTTGATTATTTAAGCCGGGAAGGAATGGTATGGAAATGTATTTTTTGTTTGAGTGTCCCATTTCAGAGCAGGCAGTATTATGTAAATTAAACCTTGTGTTTAAAAGACTACTTTGGTGTCAGTTATTTTCAGTTTCAATAAATCCATGCCTACTTTTGATGAAGACAAAAACAAGTTTCAGGCCTTTATGGCAAAGACTGGTCAATTTGTGCATTTGACCACAATATCAAAAGCACTCCATAAGTCTGACCACTTCGTTCTCGCTTGAGACTTGCCGACCAGTGCTTTGGACAGTGCTGGGGATGCATTTCTGCACCTGAAGAACTCCATGCCCACAGTAAAACATGGCAATGGCTGCACACTGTTGAGAGGGTTACCTGTTAGATGAGGTCTCTGCGATGCAACCAGTAAGTTTCACTCTAAGAACTGTCAACAAATCTCTTTGATTCTTAGGTCCTATAACGAGCATTTCAGTTTTTTTCTGAAATTAAAAGCAAAAAGTTTGATGTAATCGAGTACTTTATGGCTGAAACACATGCTTGCAGGAATATTAATCTGCGACTAGAGCATAAAAATGAATGATTATCCGAAGACAATAAAAACGAATTTACCACCAAAATTTGCAAATAAATTCATTTAAAAACCTACAATGTGATTTTCTGGATTTTTATTCTTCTAATTTTGTCTCATAGTTGAGGTACCTATAACGAAAATTACAGGCCTCTCACATCTTCTTAAGTGGGAAAACCTGCACAATTGGTGGCTGACTAAATACTTTTTTGCCCCACTGTATTTCTGATCATTTGTTGAAAGAAAAATCTTTTGTTTAGTCCTTTAAAAACCACAAATTTAACACATGAAACTTCACAGGGACATGGGGGCACGTAATCAGAGATGACACGTGCAGTTGGCTGGGACATGGGGGCACGTAATCAGAGATGACACGTGCAGTTGGACGGGACATGGGGGCACGTAATCAGAGATGACACGTGCAGTTGGACGGGACATGAGGGCACGTAATCAGAGATGACACGTGCAGTTGGACGGGACATGAGGGCACGTAATCAGAGATGACACGTGCAGTTGGATGGGACATGGGGGCACGTAATCAGAGATGACACATGCATTTGGACGGGACATGAGGGCACGTAATCAGAGATGACACGTGCAGTTGGATGGGACATGGGGGCACGTAATCAGAGATGACACGTGCATTTGGAAGGGACATGGGGGCAGGTAATCAGAGATGACACGTGCAGTTGGACGGGACCTGGGGGCACGTAATCAGAGATGACACGTGCAGTTGGCTGGGACATGGGGGCACGTAATCAGAGATGACACGTGCAGTTGGACGGGACATGGGGGCACGTAATCAGAGATGACACGTGCAGTTGGACGGGACATGGGGGCACGTAATCAGAGATGACACGTGCAGTTGGACGGGACATGAGGGCACGTAATCAGAGATGACACGTGCAGTTGGATGGGACATGGGGGCACGTAATCAGAGATGACACATGCATTTGGACGGGACATGAGGGCACGTAATCAGAGATGACACGTGCAGTTGGATGGGACATGGGGGCACGTAATCAGAGATGACACGTGCAGTTGGACGGGACATGGGGGCAGGTAATCAGAGATGACACGTGCAGTTGGACGGGACCTGGGGGCACGTAATCAGAGATGACACGTGCAGTTGGACGGGACATGAGGGCACGTAATCAGAGATGACACGTGCAGTTGAATGGGACATGGGGGCACGTAATCAGAGATGACACATGCATTTGGACGGGACATGGGGGCACGTAATCAGAGATGACACGTGCAGTTGGACGGGACCTGGGGGCACGTAATCAGAGATGACACGTGCAGTTGAATGGGACATGGGGGCACGTAATCAGAGATGACACGTGCATTTGGACGGGACATGGGGGCACGTAATCAGAGATGACACGTGCAGTTGGACGGGACCTGGGGGCACGTAATCAGAGATGACACGTGCAGTTGGACGGGACATGGGGGCACGTAATCAGAGATGACACGTGCAGTTGGACGGGACCTGGGGGCACGTAATCAGAGATGACACGTGCAGTTGGACGGGACGTACACAGGCAGGCCTACTGCAGGAAGGCCGTATGGCAGAGCTGTAGTACTCGAGACCGGTCTCGGTCTCGAGACCGGTCTCGAGACCACTTTTTTAAGGTCTCGGTCTCGTCTCGGTCTCGGTTACATTTGGACTCGGTCTCGACTCGGTCTCGGACAGTAAGGACTCGTAAATTCTTCCGAGACCAGCCGAGACCAGCATAGAAATTATCGCCCACAATTTTTTCTAGAAAAATATTTTAGTATGACATGTAGAGGCTGTATTTCCATTGGCTGTATTTCGTCCAGAGTCAGACTGTTTTTTTCTGATGTGGCTTATCCCGCCAATGGCTATCTACTTTTGAAGAAAAGCCCACCCCCAGCGTCGCTAGAGCGTGCACCCATTCACGTAAATACTTCAATCTTAAACATATGCTCGATCATGTCTGCACAATCAGCCAATATATTCGTTTTGCCTATATTCAGTACATTGAGCACAAATAAATAATTTGTCCGAAAAAACACAGCGGTTAGTAATTAAAATACATACATAATGTTGAAAAGCTACAGCCGACGTCCCTCCATGACTTTTCCTAAATACGTGCATTTTACCTTGTCCCGTTTTCAGAATTGCAAAATCACAAACCGAACAATATATAAAACTACTATTTACATGTTTTTTGATACCTAAACTGCCTTCCTGTCGCCAAAATCCCACGCCGCTGGGCGTTGGTACCCTAATTGCGGTACCCAGACACCGATCACACTTCACTGAGCCTATATGGTTGAATGGGCGATACACAGACAAATACTACGAGAACACATATAGACAATAGTCTGATTGGCTTGGTTGAACTACAAAAAAAGAGGTACGTTTATAAAGAAATATGTTTCACTAAATAAACAGAACGAATTCCGCCAAATACATACAGCCCCATTCATGTGTCATGCGCCTATTGCACTCAATAATTAATAACGAATGAACCACAGTGTATTCATATAGCCTACAAGAGACTTCAACAAAATATTGTTTTGTATCGAAATTAAACGAATATAAACAATAATTATTAATAGGCTAACTACAAATGGGCGATAAATGAAATTACTCATGCACACAGAAGGACGTGGGACATACATAAGTCCGGGGGGCATACGGCAGAAAGAGCATAAAACTGGAACGGTTATGGTCCGATCTATATGAAACTGAACCCGTTTTGGTCCGATCTTTATTAAACTGGAAGGGTTTTGGTCTGATCTATATGAACACTGTGCGCAGTTCAACCGGGTTAGTTTGCTGCTGTCTCATGTGCACTCGTAACAATAATGAACACTGTGCGCAGTGCAACCGGTTCGTTTGCGTGTCCTGCTCAAGCAGACAAACAACTGAAGCTGCGTGCCTGTGGACGGATAAATAATTATAAATAGATTTGTTTATCGGCCAATCATGCGCAAATCATTTGATTGCAAGTCGCTTGTGATCTAAAATGTGTTAGCATTTACTACATCAACATAGGACATACAGTTTGATGGATTTTCATTTATTCGATTTTTAGAAATTTTAATATCATAGCCTGTGCATTTTAAAATCATGGTTTTATTTTCGTATTTTATGTTTACATAAGACAATAAATAGGCCTAGATACTCTTTTAATAAAATTCATTTAATTCAGGATGACAACACAGTATATGATCTGATGCTGTTGGTCAAGTGTTTTTTTTACATTGGTCATTGGACCAAAAACATGTCATATTATTTAGTGTTGATATGACTGGTCTCGGCCCCCTTTGGTATCGGTCTCGTCTCGGTCTCGGCCACCTTCGGTCTCGGTCTCGTCTCGGTCTCGGCCCCCTTCGGTCTTGGTCTCGTCTCGGTCTCGGCCCCCTTCGGTCTCGGTCTCGTCTCGGTCTCGCTTTAGGTGGTCTCGAGCACAGCTCTGCCGTATGGTGTCAGGTTCCTCTTCACAGAGTAGTTGCCTGGATTGTAGATCTGTAAAGAACAAAAACGATACTAAAAATAAAACAGTCACAGAGCACTGTTATATCTTCTTTTTGATGTATCAGTTTGTTCAATATAGGCCTACTGCAAAAGCAATATGAAAGCAACGGTGAAACCATAATTTGTCTAACCATCATGTGACTGTGTCCTTTAAACTAGCAGTTATTAGGGGGCCTCACAAAACAAAAAGCCTAGCCAAGGAACTTCGTCGGAAACAACTATAACTAATTGGAGCTTTAAGACTTGCAGCTCGTCTTTGGTCAAAGCACAGTTACAAGAGAGAGAGCATTCTCTATTCACCTGCTATATATCCCACACCCCTGTGCAGCACCCCAATCCCCTCTTTCCTATTACCGTAACAACCCATTATAACATTGAACTTAATAGGGCACTTCCCATACGGTGTGCTGTATTATTTAGCCTATATGTAGCATAGGCTAGTAAATCAGCCGAGATAATTGCAAAATGGCCGCCTAGAATATACAATTTACCCGTTTCTAGTGGTTTGCCATGTTCGATGCTGTCGAATAATATTCAAATTCTTGCGTACTGTGTTTGCATTTTAGTTTGTTTGGGTTGTCCTTTAAAAGTTCGAAAATGCCACCATACTTAAGATTTAGACACCTAAGACTGAGGCATAGGACGAGTTGGTAGAGTGCATGCTTTGTATTTATGATGTCCTGGGTTCAATCCCCAGCTTCTCCCCAGGTCGCTGTTGCAAATGAGAAGTTGTTGTCAGCCTTTACCAATAATTCCACTACCTCAGGTCTCTTTTTTTCTCGTCATATAGGTCTAACCACCGGGCAGTGCATGTTGTCGCAGAATTCTTTTGAGGCCAGTGCGCTGGCTTTCCCTACTAGAATATAACATGAATGCATGCATCTACAATTATTGTAACTCCAATAACTTTTTATTTGACAAACCCCCAAAAAAAAAAAAATGAATAAATAAATAAGACTGCTCGACCTAAAAAATCTCACGTCTTCTTTTACACAATTGGGATGGCTGGGTGCATCGCTCAGCTGGAGAACACATGGCACCAGGATGCACAATGGAACGAAGCAAGCCGTCAGAGGCAGTGTGACGCGTTAGGGAATTTTCTGCTGGGATAACCCGAGTCCTACCATTCATGTGGATGTTACTTTGACACCTACCACCTATCATAGCATTGTTACAGACCATATACAGTACACCCTTTAATGGAAACGAGGTCGTGACAAGACAATGTTTTAAGACAATTTTTAAGAAATCTTCAATGACAAAATATATAATATATAAGAAAAACTGATGAAGGAATGATGAAGAATGAAGCGGGATGGCTAGAAGGCCGGTGACGAGGAATGCCCAAGTTGCCCCATGACGAATTTGCCAAGAACTTAACTGACTGTCTTGGATGATTTCACTGTTCAGACCTTATTACTGTGCATGTGACCTTCTAACTGAACTCCTTTACACAAATTGAATATAAAAAAAAAACAGTATAAATGACAAAAAATAAGTAACACTACGTTTTTATTATTGTTATTACTAACAATAAGTGCAACCATGATCAAAGTAGCACTCTTTCAATACTAAAACTTCAAACTTTGTGTGATGGTAGCTTCTGCTTGGACATTAACAGATTGGTAGCTGAAAAAGTATTAATTGTAAGCAGAATTTTTTTTTTTTTTTACTTTGTTAAATTCTAACGAATTATGCTAGAAGCGAAGTCTGCTAAATGAAACCGAATAGTTCTATCTCTTTATCTACATTGACTATGATTATGGCATAATTGTAGGTCTAGACAGATTTTCTTTGTAATTTCCAAAAACAATAACTTGTGATGTGTTTGTCGCTAGCCTGCATTAAAGATAAGATAGAATTTTGTCTGACATAAACTTTTTAAAATACACATTCAGACTCAGAGCAGAGAGCCGGGCACGTGTTTCAGATGAGACCATATGTCTATTATAGATTATTAAGGCCTGCAGGCATCTGTGGCACCAAAGAACAAACACAACACAGACATGCTGCCAATCAGAAATAAATCATACAATCCAAAATGTTTTAATGCTTTGTTTGAGTGCCAGACAGACAAGGATGAAAGGAAAATGACCTTAGGGGAGATTCCATCTGTACTATTGCACGACAAACTTATACAATTGTTATTATGATAGAATTAATTTAATTAAATGTGCTCCTAGAATTGTACTTAATGCACTCAAAGTAATGCTTTGCAATTATGTAATTAGGTCAAAGTGCTTTACAAATAAAATATTAGCATTAGAAATAAATGTACCTTATATTATAATGTTCAGAGCATAAATTTAGCAAAGAACAACATATTTTAGGTTATTGAGACACAAGCATGCTATTGGGTAAAACTTGGTTAACACTTGAAGCGTAGAGGCATTGACACCTACTAGTTGCGAAATGATGGGTTATTTGACCCATGCATGTTTTTAATGGAGGGAGTTGCATAACACACAATGACACACAAGACCGGTAGATGGTGCATCTTTGCATCAGAAGGACCAGGCTGTTGTATATGGCGTTATATTTGTGACACATGAGCGCGTAATTGTAGGTTTTGAGCACAGAGTACTATATTGTGCGCGCTCAAGTCTTGACACACGCTCGCTCAACTTGCAGGTGCGCGCTCAAAAACTCGTTCTCTGTGCACAAGTCATGTCCCCCGCGCGCTCAACCTCATCACTCTGTGCACGCTCAAGTCTTGAGACACACGCTCGCTCAACTTCAACAGAGCGTTACAAATGTGCCACAAAACCAACCAATCAGAGGATTAAACAAGGTCAATTGTGATGAATGTGTCTCTCCAAATGCGACTGCTCCGGCTAGGACTATCTTATTGTCCCCAACCAAAGCTTGTTGTTTTCAGGCTGCGCTCCCTGTCAAAGGTTGACAATTCACGAATCCAAAGGTCGAAGCATCGCTGAGATATGTCACCGTTTTCAGGCACTTATATGTGGCAAGCGCAGTTCGATGTTTACAGGTACCTGTGTATGGAGGACCAAACATGCCATATTTAGAAATACATATTTCATTATCCTTTTTATTTATATTTTCATTCATTTATTTCCTTCATCTTTTGTTTCTGTATTACTTTATTCCTGTATTTATTTATTTCTGTATTTCCTTGTCCTAAAGCTAATGAGAGGTGGGACTCAAACCTTCAGCCATCACAATCAAGCAAATGATGTGGTTTTATCTACCACTTGATTGGTTTGATTGCTATGGCAGAACTTTTCACTCCTGCCCCCTGATAGCTTATGGACAAGGAAATACAGAACTATGTGTGTATTTTCCCTGTCCTTAAGCTAATGAGGGGGCAGGATGCAAATGTTTGGCCATAGCAATCAAGACCAAACAGAACATTTCGAAAAGACGAGATTCACAGCAACATCGAGGTGCAGTTCATCCACTTGGCGAAATAGAGCCCACAAAGAGTAGTGTGGGAAAATATCATAATCACCTCTCTATATGAGTTATTTGTTACAGACATCACAGTTTGGTTCATCTGAATATTTGTCACAAACATCACAGTTTTAGTATTAGTTTAAAATACATGGGATACTCAGACACACACACACACACACACACACACCAGTGGCGCCAGCAAACATATATTTACTGAACTATAGGGAAAGTCAACTCGTAACTGTCGAGCGTGCAGAACAGGAGATGAGCTTGGCATTTAAAGATGACGTCATCACTAACTCTCATTGGCCATAAGCCAGATGGAAAAAGACTACCTCCTAATAGGGCACTTGTCCTGCTCTTACCCACTCCCAGATGAATGTATATTAAGCCAGGTGCTACTTGAAGACGGGGTGTATAGGTGATCCGTGAGACAGCTACCTGGAAAACACCAGTCTGTGGAACAGAGAGCCACTGGAGCCCTATTCTCTGAGAATTGTTGCTTTGTGTTTGTTGACACAGACGTTGATACTCTGTGTAAGTGTATGATACTCTTTTTATTGTTTTTATTCAGTAATGACTTTCTTTGACAACCATTTTTAATCTGGCTATTTCTTGACGGACCTTCGAGAGATTCCCTCAATAAGAGAGAGTCTTCCCGTTTCCCAACAGTAGCAATGTCACGAACAGAAACACCAGTTAACACATAACTTTCAATAGCATCCATGGGCGTTATAAGTAAAGAAACTGCTCCGGAATCAATTGAATGGTTTGAAAAATGCTTCCAAATTGCTGAATGTATATAACCATTAGGTTGTATAATTAGTATAATATCAAAATAAATAACTCATCATAGATTTTTTTATACACAGTTGTTGTATTTAAAGTCATTATTTATGTTTTCTATAAAGATAAGCGGAATTAAAGTTTATTGGTGTCATTTTCCAAAATGTTTGAAACAGATACCAGATACTGCCATTTTTTAAGCGGCTTGTTGGCGGTCTTTTATTTTGAAGCCTACTACATAATTACCTTCACATGAAAGGACGTAAGAGGGGGAAGAATTATTTTGAAGGTAGCTAGTATAGCAAAAGCTATCATGTTAAAAAATTGCTTACGTTTTGAGTGACTAATGTTTAGCACCGAGCTGATGGGGCACAAGCTTTTATTTTTGTTTATAAGGGTAAGCTGGATATCGAAGGAAAGTTCATTAAACCCTTTTTGAACACCAGTTTGAGAGTCACGTTTTTTAAGTATCAGTTGGGTCTGCCACACTGGAAGCTACAGAGTTTACCACTGTGTCTGTAGATGAAGCTAACTAAAACATTTAGTCAGCCAAGACATCAACGTGAAAAATTACACCTGGACTAGCACTTGCATCTTCAGCAAGCTTAGCTAACACTCTCAAATCTCCTGCATGTAGGTAGCCATTTGTAAGGTGACACCATGAAAAACATTGATTGACAACTTAGCTCATTAGCAAAAAGACATAAGTAAAAACATAAATAAATAAAAATGAAAAGATTTTTTAAAATAAAAATGAATACAGACAACTATGATCATGGAAATAGATAATTATTTTGATTAATGCATTAACATGGAACATAAAGAAAGAGAACTATTCAGTATCATTTAGCAAACTTCGCTTTTAGCATAATTCAATAGAATTTAACAAAGCCCTAGTTAAAAATATAAATGTAGTTTTCTGCTTACAATTAATACTTTTTCAGCTATTTATATTTATTTCTAAATATGGCATGTGGTCCTTCATGCCTGTGATGTTTACTTTACACAATGAAGTGTTGATTTGCATTTAAATTAATAATAATATCTTTTTCCTTGCATATTTATGTCAGTTCCAGCTGTTTATAGCACCCCCAATAGGCAAAACACAATGTACATCCTTGTACACATAAATATGCATTACATTTTCTTTACATTATATTGTTTATGTATCAACTATTATCAATTGCCTATTGTTTTGGTAGGCCATTGGTCTATTGAAAAGCACAATATTGTTACATGTGAAGCGTAACATGTTAGAACTTCCCTGATGATGCCTCGTTTCACACCTTATGCAGAAGCAACAATATTCATTTCATTCATGTCATTCATGTTAACGCGATATTGTCTACAATACATCAACATTTATTCAAATGAATCAGTGGATACCCAGCTAGCAAAAGTTAGTTCTCAGAACGTTTGTTGAACGTTTTTTTTTGGTTGTGGAAACGCTCCCTGAACATTGCATCTATGTTCCAAAAAGGTTAGTATGGATGGTTTTCTAC